AGTATAAAGTGGCTTCATTTATAACATGGGTCAGCTGTGTAGCTGCCATAAACAGTGTTACATGCAGGGAGTACTGTTGTTAATGCTCAGGATGTGGATGTGATATTATGCTTTTATGTTTATTGACAGTACTGTATGTAATATTAATATTATAAATTTTAATTTAGATGCAGTCTGAAATAAAGAAATCTTATCTTATCTTATACCTTGATGTTAATTGACAGTACTATATGTAATATTATGTCTTTATGTTAATTGACAGTACTGTATGTAATATTATGTCTTTATGTTTATTGACAGTACTGTATGTAATATTAATATTATAAATTTTAATTTAGATGCAGTCTGAAATAAAGAATTCTTATCTTATCTTATACCTTGATGTTAATTGACAGTACTGTATGTACATTTATGCCTGGGGGCCCTCGTGGTCTAAAGCTAAAGCGCTGTCCGTTACGGATCACTGCCATCTCACCTCTGTCTGTGTGTGTTCGAGTCTAGGATTCGGCTAATGTAGATATGTGAGAAAGCTTGCCAGTAGCTTCTCGTGGGTCGGTGGTTCTTTCCGGTGATTTCCCGGTTTCTTCCTCCACCATTAATACTGGCCGCCATGAATAGCCTATCGTGTGCTGAAAAATGGCGTTAAGCCCAACAACAAACAAACAAACATTTATACCTTAATGTTAATTGACAGTACTGTATATAACATTATGCCTTAATGTTAATTGACAGCACTGTATCTAATAAATATACCTTGAGCACTTTGTATTCCAGTGAATGTTTCTACAGGCACATCATCACCTTTAGTGCTGGATCTTATTTTGAATACCACTGGAATTAAATGAGAACTTTATTCATTAAGATAGTGAAGTAAATTATTTAATTTTACAAAACTTGTTGGGTATTTTTCTTTTATATTACTTAGTTTAAGACCATAGATTTGTAATAATAATGTTTTCACCAGAAGACTTCTTTATTATGTCAAGTTGGTCAATAATGAAAATGATGCCAGTCTGATGTCTAATATGGCTGCCAGAGTGGCCATCTTGAAAATCGTGTGATTGCTTCTCCTGAATCACATGGTGATATGGGGTTTTAGTATGTATTCATCTTGTAACAGGAAGAGTCTTGTAATGAAGGAACTTACAGTGAGGGAGGGAGTGTTGCAAAGTGAAAAGTGTGAAAAGCTTTGTTCTTTGTGAAACTGGTTGGGAAACATGACTAAATATAAACTGTTTTAAACAAAACAGAATCAATGGCCATACTCAAATGAGATACTGTATATGCTCATTAATAAGTTGGATGCAATTGTATACTGTCTTGGCAGAAATGGGTGCATGCAATTTGTGAGGATTAATCAACAAAGGTAACTACTGTAGCAGGGCTTATCCTACTTGACCATTGTTATTTTCATTTCAGATCATGCTGATATTCCTGTCTGTTGTTCATCTTAAATTCTATGGATTGTTTACAGTCTGTGAAGACCAACATCATATCAAGGAGACGAATGGTATAATTTTTGACATTTTTGATGCTTTATAGAAATTTAACCTTCATAAAACATCTTTATTCTGATTTCAAAATTTGGTATTGGTATAAAAGTTTCCTAAAGACGGATTTATACAGGATTTCTGTGATTCAACTTTTATAATGCATTGGTTGAATGTTGCACTGATATACTTTTCCATCTAGTTATGTTGGAAAAACTTGATCTACTGTATATACTCGCCTATGTCAAGTCAAAACAACAAAGCTTCTGAACTGCTGTAGCATAAGTTACTGCAGATTAGGGTCTGTGTCATTGTTCTGCAGATTATTCCTAACAAACTCCATGGACCCAGATCTGCTGGCCAACAGTAGATATAGTCTGTGCAGTTGGATTCATCTTGTGAGTGCATATGGCACTTAAATTTATAAAACCAGATTCTGGTTTCAGTGATTCCAGATGCACCAATATTAGTATTCCTGTGATACTTCTAGCAGTAAAATGCACCAGATTTTTGTTAGGTCCGTATTGGTAGAAAGCAAGTCATCTTCAGGCATCCTCAACAGTTTTTAAATTTTTTTTGTTGTGTTTTTCAGTTGTATATAATTTCAATTGGGATGACTAATTGGAAAGCTAAGATTCCTCTTATGATTTGCTTTCCCTGCCATTTTGTTAAGCTAGGGGTCAGGGTCATAGTAATAGAAAATTTGCAGAAATGTTTATTCATTTTCTTACAGTTCCAAAACCCCTTGATGGATTTTCTTCATATATTGGATAAATTAATTATGAAGCTAAAACAATAATGACTGTTGACATGCTCACTGTTTATTGACCTTGTGTTGTAGGTGACTTATTTCTACAGCAAAGATATGTTCTTGCCTTTAGCATGCAGGTCCTTTCTTCAGATTACTAAAATGTTGTGGAGCTTTCTTGCGTGGTTTTACTTCCATACATTTTATGCTGCTGTGCATACTTGCTTATAAGTGGAGTTCGACTGTAGACTGCACAGACTCGTATTGGCTGTCACATAATGTGCAGGCAGATCTGGGTCTGTGAAGTTTGTTAGGAGCAATCAATAGAACAAGCAACATAGAAATTGATCAGCAGGCACAGATTGGTTCCTACTTAGCATGATGTACTGAATACAAAACTAATTCTCAGACCCAAAACTTTATGAATAATTTCATGCAGAAAAAGGGTCGAGTTGAACAGAAATTTTGTATTTTGTTATTGCTACTCCACCTGAATGGATGGTCATATCAACATGGGGTAAAAGGCTTTTTTTGATGTCTGGTTGGACCTAAATGAAACTGCACCAATATGGCAATCATGGTAGCCATCATGTTATTGTTACTCCAATAGAATGGATGGTCTTATCTACATGGGGTTTCAGTAAAGGACATTTCATGCTGTCTGGTTAGATGTAAATAAAACTGTGCCAATATGGTAGCCATTTTGAAAACCTTATTACCACTTCTAAACAGAAAGTCCTATCAACATGGGTTTTCAACAGGAAGTTTTGATAATGTCTGTCTAGTTGGCCCAAAATAAAAATGATTATCTTGAAAACCATCTTATTGCTACTCCTCCTGAATGGATGGTCATAACAACATGGGTTTCACTATCAGACATTTTATGATGTCCAGTTGGTTCTGATTGAAAATGGTTCCATTCTTATGTCTAATATGGCAACCATGACAGCCATCATTTTGTTTTTAACATAACTCAGTGGAAAGTAAGAATGGAGTTTTCACCATTTGACTTATGGTGTCTGATTTTTTCTAAATGAAGATGGTGATAATCTGACATACAATATGACCACCACAGTGGCTGTTTTGAAACTCATGTTTTTGCTATTGTCAAATAATGCCATCATTCCCATACCATTCATTTCAGATCTGTTCATAAAATCCTACTAGAAAGAGTTCAGCCGATGAAATGGAAATTTGCCATTATTTCCTCCAAAGTTGGAAAATGATGACTGACCTTATCTAATTCTTTATCACCATACTCTCAGAAGAGGTTGGAACTAATTCTTCCTTGTGATTTCCAGGTTACGGGTGAATAAGTTTGAACAGTTACACCATAGCTCAGCTTGTCATGCAAAAGGCAATTAGCAAGATTCTCTCCTAGGAATCTGTTAAATTGAAAGTTTCAAGAATATGTCCAATTTATGAATGCTGTCATTACCATGCCAAGTCCCCACCTGAGCCATTCACAATGTCCTGCCAGAAACAGTTCAACCCGCCTTCAGGAGAAACTTTCAGAAATTTAGCTTGTGAAATCTATCATGCTGCAAAATTTGACAGCTGCACACTAACTGTAGATTACACACATGGGTCTGCTTCTCCCATATATCAAAAAAATTGTTATTTACCACATTGGTTGTGAGAATGAATTACTGTTGGTTTATGCACTTCATTCATAAAAGTTATAATTCAAGTGTATCAAAATGTAATTTGGCATGTGATACAAGATGAAATTCATTTTAAAAGGTTTAAATGTTAAGCATTTTAAAAAAAAATGTTAGTTACATGATTTAGCAAAAATCGGTTGATGTATACTGATGCAGTATGGTATACATATATGGATGATCACCTTAGATTTCTGACTGTATAATAGTTTTTTAAAAAAATGTCAGCATTTGTGAATTTTTATAACTTTTTGGGTCAGCATTGGGGGATATATGTGTTTTCCAAAGACAAATTTAGTTTGTTTCATATTTTTGGAATGACTCCAAGAAGCTTGATTGTCCATTTTCTGACTATTACTAGGAAAAGATTAAGATTGCTTTGATTAGATATGGTCATGGGTTTTAGCAATGGCAGTGATGAGATAATCCGACTTTATATTTTTTGCCCTGAATTCTTGTCGATGAAGCTATGCTCAAGATAATCAAGAATTCAGTTTTTTGTCCTAATTCTTATCATTATAGCAGCTGCAGCAGTGATACTGATAATCAGTCTTGCAGTTTTTGCATCTTCTGATGAATTCTTGTCATATATTGAGTTCACTTTTTGATGAGCAAAATCTTGTCCCAGTTTTATGACAGATGCACATTTATTCTTGTACATAACTTTATCTCTTTTTGTTTGCTTGACCTGTTCATGTTAACAAGGTCATATTTGCACATGGTGAGTGCGAGGTAAAATATACACTGTGTGCAAGTAGTATTTGCTCTGAGCATTAAATAAATGTAACAGTGTTCGGAGTTGAATCTGAACTTATAAGTAAAGAGTACTTACAATTTAAGAGTACTTGTACTTAAAGAACACTTATAATTTAAAAATACATGTAATTAGAGAGTACTTTTAAACAAAGAGCATTTATAATTAAACAGTATTTTTTAATTAAATGCACATATAATTTAAAAATAATTTTAATTAGAGAGTACTTATACTTAAAGAGTATTTATAATTTAAGAGTGTATATAATTAAAGAGTACATAAAATTGAAGAGTACTTTTAATTAAATAGTATTTATAATTAAAGAGTACATATAATTTAAGGGGGAAGCTGCATTATCTCATTTGGTAGAGCATCAGATTCTTAATCTGAGGGTTGTGGGTTTGATACCTGCCCATGACAGCCTGGGTTGGCTGCCTTGGTGTGTCTTTGGGAAAAGGCACTTAGCTTCTATGTCCTGAGCATGATTTAGTCATCCTTGTGCTTGAAGAGCTGTTTTATACCAACCAAACCCACCAACCAACCAACTAACCAACTAACCATCCATCCAATTTAGGAGATGAGAGCCATGGTAGCTGATCAGCTAGAGTGCTGGACTCTTGGTATTTTGAAGAGGCCTTTATTTGAAACCTTATTACATAGTAATTTTTTGTTCATAGTTAAAATTTAAAATTTTTGCTATTCATATATAAAGATAAAAAATGTAAAATTAGTCAAGTTGACACACTGTCAGTTAACCAGGCTACTTTATAGTCATGCTTAGTGCCCATGATGTTATGATGTAATAAATCAAACAGCAGCCTGAGAGCAGCAGAGTTCCATTGGAATGCTGAATAAACAATACTTGACAGTTGGTGTTAAGTGGGTGGGGCCTGGGGTTTTGTCAGTTAATATGTGCTTGCAAGATTTTTTGTGGTTTCCCCACTTGTTAATATCCCATATATACTTGAGGACATGTCAGATTCAACTGCATGAAGCATAGACCCAAATCTGCCATTACAGAGACCCCAACTTGCCATTACATAGACCCCCAATCTGCCATTACATAGACCCCAGTCTGCCATTACATAGACCCCCAATCTGCCATTACATAGACCCCAGTCTGCAATTATATAGACCCCAATCTGCCATTACATAGACCCCAGTCTGCCATTACATAGACCCAATCTGCCATTATATAGACCCCCAATCTGCCATTACATAGACCCCAGTCTGCCATTACATAGACCCCAATCTGCCATTACATAGACCCCAATCTGCCATTACATAGTGTATTTGCAGATAGAATCTCATTTGTTTTACAATTAGAAAGTTGTTAATTTTTGTGGACTAGTATTATGGTTTCTGTATATCATTTGTGATATGAGATTTCCATTTATTTCAATATGAAGTCAAAACAAACCCCATGTCTGGCAGTCTCGGACATGTTTAAAACTTATAGACAGGTAAATCTAAAATAAAAAAATAAAGGAAAAAGAAATCTGAACTTTAACACATTTTCTGGTACATCTCCATTTCCTTTGAAATAAACAATTTCAGGCTGTTCACATGGCAGTATTCATTTGTCAACCATTGTCCATCCCCACACTATTACAGCTAGGTTTTATATCAACAACATCAACAAAATACTTTTTTATAGTCAAACCCCTCATTTGACCCTTTGGATTCTGGTTTGACTATCACCACAATCCATTCATTCCACCAAAGCTGTGTGGAAAATTAATCTGTGAGCACAGATTGCCATAATTACTGGCTTATAAGTGATGTCCAACTGTAAATTATGAAGACCCAAATCTGCCATCACATAATTCGATGGCAGATCTGGAACTGTACAGTTTGTTATGAATAATAAAATTTGACCCTGATTTGTTATGTTAGATCAGGATCTTTGTTGTTTGCAGTTTGAGTTGACTTATAAGCAAGTATTAATTTTATACATTGCCATTTTTAGGTAAGTGACCTGACTGGATTCTGACTTTTCTTGGGCAAATACTGATGGTATTAGTCACCCTTCTTTGACCTAAATTTTTTGTATTAGATAGAAATGTAAAGTCAAGTCAAACTACAAACAAGAAAGATCATGATCTGCCATAGCATAATGCACCAGCAGATCTGGGTCTATGCAGTTAGAAGTTGGACTCTTCTTAAAAGTGAGTGCATATAGCACTTCTGTTGTAGAAGTTTTGTAGATGGGGCATTAATATTTTATGAGCATTGAAGTCTATTCTCACTCAGATATCTAAGCACATTGATACACCACATACCTTTTGCACAAATGTAACAGTTTTCTGAGTTACAAAATAGATTTATTTGCCACAAAATTTAGATTATGATCCTTCTTGGTTAGGTATTCTTTACTTAAATTTATCCTGCAAGGAAAAAGGTCTTGGTTTGCAACTCTCGAAGTGTCAAAGAATGAATTGCACAGCAATGAACAGTGTAATGGTGATACTGGTTTTGTGCTTTGATTGATGACTTCAACTTAAAAGGAAAATTCAATTTAAAAGAAATTGAGATAGAATGTTATATGCATCTTTCATTTCCATTTAGAAGCTCAAAAGATCAAGGTCAAAAGAAAAAAAATGGGTTCTCCAACATTTACAGTTTCCAAACCTGTTGATGTCTTGCACTTGGACATTTTTAGCATAAACCCTATTGGCTTTGGGTTGACTTGGACATGTTTAGCATAAACCCTATTGGCTTTGGGTTGACTTGGACATTTTTAGCATAAACCCTATTGGCTTTGGGTTGACTTGGACATTTTTAGCATAAACCCTATCTGCTTGGGGTTGATTTGGACATTTTTAGCATAAACCCTATCTGCTTGGGGTTGACTTAGACAATTTTAGCATAAACCCTATATCCTTGGGGTTGGCATAACTTTAGATGTAATATTCATGGAAAACTACCACCACTGGGCAGTTTATACAGCTAATTGTCATGATGATTACAAATTATAGGTGGTCAGAGATAAACAATCATCATTTCACAGATTACATAATTAACAGTAACTAGTGTATTGTTGTGCTGCTAGCTTTGCTCTGTGAGAGCTCATTAGGCTAATTTGTGTTTCCAAATTAGAGATGCATATTGAAGAAACAAAAGTGTTACTTTTTGTATTCTTGAATAAGAATGCTAAAGACATTGTTATTAAAGATTATTAATTAGTTTTTATTGGAGGTCATTTATTAATTGAACCATAAAATGTGAAATGTCATAATTTCATTGGTTGGGATCGTAAAGCTAAGAGTAATGTGGAAGTGTGATTAATTTTTTAAAGGCAAAATATTGAAACACAGCCGAGATTCAGTTCAAATGAACCATTCTCAAAGTGTGCAAAAAAAACCAGTCAATTTTAGAACTTCCAAATGATTCATTCCACCTAGAAATTTTTTAAAAATTTATTTTCTGTTTTGTTCAATTTCTTTAAGAAAAAAAAACTCTCTTTAACAGGTCAAATCACAAGAGCTGAAACGTCTTTTTCTAATGCATGTCACTGTGTCAAAGATGCTCATTTTTAACACTTCATTATCTTAAGACCCTCCAGTGAACTTTTGATAGCAATAAAACCTATAACCATAAGATTATAAGACAGAAACTTGCTATTCTGTTTTATATAATGTTTGTGATTATGTGAGTGTGTGTACATATGTGCATGCAGAGGGCTCACTAGGATTTTAAAACTAGGAGTCCAGGACTCCTAATTTGGTAAAGATAGGAGTCCCACCAGCAAAAGTTGCAGTCCGAACTAAGCCAGAAATCATATACTTTCTTACACTTTGTTACGGTTGCATCTGAACTATTAGTTATAGTAACTTAAGCACAGTTCTGATTTTTCCGTTTAACTGCAAAACACTTGTCTAAATTTGCAAACAGTATTTTGTCCAAGTCTCTTGATTTCGAGTTCACAGTTAATATTTATATGGCAACAACTGGAAATTAAATAAAAAACCGGGATTGCCCTGGGTGCCAATGTTTCAAATTGCAATTATATTTTACATATTGACAACAAAAATATACCTTCTGGCCATATTTTTGGCCACAACATTTTCGGCTGATAAAAACAGTAGTTTTGAGTTTGGAGCTGAGAAATTCAAAGGCACCATGACAGGAAGCTGCAAACTTGGATATAAAAATGCATTGGAATCAATTGTTACATAAGCAAATCCTTATTTCATATTGACAAACCACCCTTACAGTTAATTGTTATGTCATAATCCACTTATGCTAATATCTGGTCTTGACAAAACTGACTAGCCACCTCTGAGGGCAGACATGTGAAATGACTACAGTTGACCACACGAAACCAATTTTACCCCCCCCCATACCCCCTTCTCCCGAAAAATAGTTTTTTCTGCAACTTCAATGAAAACTGATTGCCTCTGAAACACTGATATATACTAAGGAAATTTTTTAAAAATTGTGATAATGTTCTACAATTCATTTGATGTTGCTGCAAATGGGTGTTTGTTTTGTCCGTCAAAGGCAACCCTTAGCTTCGCCTTCAATAACACATGCACCTTCATCAAAGCATGCTGTCAACCTTTGATCAATGAAGTCAGCAATAAACTAAAACTAAAATAAAAGCATTGCTTCAGTTTTCTTAGTGATTAGAACATATTTATTTTTCTGCAAAACTTTCCTTCTTGCAACAAAAACGTGCATACGGAGGACTTCTGTGTCAGCAATTTTATGTGTCCCTAATAAAAAGTTTGCATCCAAATATGCGTAATTAAGCATTTCTGAGATCACTGTGCATGTGTTTGTGATGACAATATATGACATTGCCAAATCTAGCTATCCTTTGTTCAGAAGTATATTGAATACATTCTTTAAACCTATTTAATTTTGAATTTCCAGTCATTTTAATTAAGTTTATATTAGTAGATTACTTATTTTGAGTAGTACAAGATTGTGGATATGGGTTATGTACAAATGAACCCACTTGGGTCCAGTAAACACACCTTTGAGTCTTGAAAACCTCTCAACAGTCCCAAAGATTGGCATATATACAGTGTCCTTGTTAATATTTATCAGAAGTGAGTAAAGTTTGATTGGGCTAAATTTCTTCTTTACCCCCATGAAATATAAGTTGCTCATTTTATTTTTATGTGTTAATTGATAATCTGTATTTGTTGCTTTTTATCGTAAATGATATATTATTTTCTATACATGAAATAAAAGAAAATAAAACTTCAATAATTCATGGGGTGCTTAAGTTTACAGAGCAGCCAGTTCTGTAATATAGTGTACATATCAGTTCTTACACAATGCAATTGTATATCCTTGTTTATTCCCTGAAAATACTAGATGCAGATTTTTGCTATATTCATCATTTCTACCAAATCTCATTCTTCCAGATCACATTTTTAAAAAGTCCTTAATTACTATTTTATTTTTTTTAC